TGTGTTGAGTTGGAGGCTGGGATTTAAAATCACTGAAATACCAGCCTGGCCCTTCTGTAGCAAAGGCATGTGTTTCAGTATAAATGACTGTTAAGTAGTGTTAATCATTTACTTATTAATTTAACAAAGCGGCTGGTCCAGTAGCCCCTAAAGTCTTGATCACATAAAAATGTTTCCCCACAGTAGACTGTATATAAAATATGGCAGTATGTCCTGTGCTGTCACCATTCAGTTTTGATACCTGTCATTGTGAAGCCTTAACTTTGCCTTTATGGATGCTGTTTTTTTGTCTTTCATTTTTCTTTTTTTGGAGTCATATTTATCTAAGTTATCAGATAATGCTAGCAAGATTGCGAAACAGAGTGCATCTATAGACTATGTAAAGTAGGAGCGTCACAAAGATACTGACTAATCCTAATTACAGCTAAATAACAAACAAATAGCTGAAGCACAGGCTTCTTGGATGGCCTTTTAGTACAGTTAACCCCATAGAAAGCTATATTATTTGACAGATAATTGCATTCAAATGCAACAACAGGCACCAGCACCACTAACATTTCACTTGCATATCTCAAATTAGCTCAGGTGACGCCAAGCACCGAACTAGTAGCTAATTCTCAGCTGAACCCAGCTCTGCTCCAGCAATGGGGGAAATGAAAGCTAGTGGCAAAAGCTTTTTTTTCTTTTTTCTTTTAATGTGTGCATTTTTATTGTAAATGTTTTTTCAGCCTAGAGGTTGCCACTTGACAAAAACAGACCTAAAGCATTAAAACAACAAACTATAGATCCTATTTGTGGATAAATTAGCAGCAGATGACCAGTTTCTCTTTCTGCTGTGGGGTTTAGCATTGCTATCCCCGCAGCCTTAAACAAACAATAGCATGCTTGAAAACTCTCAGCATCAGTTTTCATTAAGGAAGCCTTCAACTATTTTGAGTGTAAGTCAAGAAAAATAAATCTTTTCCTTGTGACAGAAAATGTGCAAGATGCTATAAATAGTGTTTCGAACAACAGACTCAAAGACTTTTCATTTATGTATGTGGCCTTTTTTACATTTTTTTCGTCAGCTGTGCATCAGGGAGGGGTTTTTTTTCCATTACAAGGACATTATGAAGGCATCACACCCATGAGATAAGCCAACTCTAGACAAGCGTAGCATGGATGACAAAGTAGAAAAAGATGACGATTCAAAGACATTTTGTAAGCATATTGCAGAGGATGTGTGATATTCTGTCATATCTGATCCTTTGTGCTCCCAGCTCCTCTCAGAAGCCATGGATGAAAATATAGTCATATTCAGGGAGCGTACTGCAAAGTGAAGAATGAGCATCTGTGTTCTCAATGCATCAAGGTCATAAAGCGTCATCCCAAAGCACATTAGCCTGTAGAGCCGAGTCAAGCAGGGGCAAAAATCGATAAAGCAAGTCTCAGAACAATAGCATACACGCAGTTCTGCTACATTTTAGTTACTCTTACTACCAAATATCCTCAATAGGTTGCAAAAGCACAGAACCCTATGGAAAATCTGAAGTGTACTAGAACGATAATACTGGCGGAAAGGAGCATATGAAGACAAGATATAGAGACATGAAGAGACGTTTCAGGCAAGAGGCGAATGAGTTTGTCCTCGCCTGGTGACAGATGCAATTCTGAGTTGTCAGTTACAACCTTCAGTTGGTTGCTCTAATTAGAAGAAAATAAAAAAAAAGAATATTAAAAAAGGAAATGTTAATTACAGGTTTTTACATTCTTTACCAAAAGTTGCACTTTGCTGACCCCAGTTGAAATAGTCCTCTTTATAGCGTTTACTGACACAGCTGACCCACGTATGGTAGTCATACTGAGACCATTTATTGCAAAATCAATCAGGAGCATGTGCAATGCATTCACACCAGATGCTTCAAAATGTGGACTGTGACCACTTGATGCCACAGCAGTATGTCTCTTGGATCTGGAGGCACTAACCACGCAGGTGGTTTAAATCCCAAGATTGTCTCCTTTGAAATAGGAGGATGCTGGACCTGCTGACAGCATACGAAAGCCCCCCAGAAGCAGCTCCTCTAAAGATAATTTAGTTCTAAACTTTTACTGCAGTGCTGCTCAGGCTATTTTAAGCTAAGAAACATCAGAGAAGGTACCTGTGAAGAGAGCCTTAGAGGGTTCAGGCATGTCACCTTTTTTTTTCCATTTCTCACTATCTCCCAATTAACCATTTTCTTCTGCTGAACCATGACTAATACCTTACTCTGGTTTTTTTACATGCTAACTATGAAGAGGCAGAGGAATAGAAATTTTCTCAATGTGCACTGATACTATATTGATTCCAATCAAGTGTTTTTGGAGCCATTTTTTTATACTCGTAGAGACTCTTCAGTCCGCAGATCTTTTAATACAGAGAATGCAAAACTCATTTTAAAACCAGTGTAGTCAGGGCTGGCCAGATCACCAAAATTATAAGAGAACAACCTACTGAAAATATATTGAGCCATCCATTTATGAAACAGTTGAGGAAAAAGCAACAGAAAGGTACAATTTATAAAATTACAATATTAATATTTCATTCTTTTCCATATTCAGTCAGTCAACAGCATGGCTACTTTTCTGATCAACCAATGTGTATATGTGCCATTTGGTACACCATGGAAAACCTCAAGCCACACCCATGTTCTGTGCATAATCGGTGCACATGTGTAAAGATTTGTGACTATAGTATACATGGTTATGACCCTATCATGTTGCCAGAAGAAGCCAAAAATGGTCAAAAGAGCTTAGTAGTAAGTCTTGCTACTTACTAGGTCTCTCCAAAACCATGATTCCACACAGACTCAAAGAATAAAAAGAACTGTTGTTGGCAGCATATGCAAATTAACACTAAAAAGCAACCTACAGTTAGGAACATACTAGGGGTGCAA